GATTAGTTTTCTTAACTAAAGATAAGAGAATAGATACTGGAATCAGCCTGCCTGCATTTGAATTCCATTCACTAATTCTGTTTTGTTTTGTTTTTTAAGTCCAGTTCACATAGGGGACCGCTTACTGATTCTGAAACCCTGGGAAAATGGCTTACTCTGAGCTTTACTTTCCTTCACTGTAAAATGGGAATGATAATACTACCTATGTTGTAAGATGATGATGATAAAATGTATGGAAAACATTTAGCACAGTGCCTGCCTGACACATGGGACGCACGGAATAAAAGTTAGCTATGATCGTTAGGCTCTGGACAGGCAAAAGGATATTTAGTCTAAGGACCTTTAGGTACAGTTATAAACTTACATTTCTATCTAGGTTTGTATTGGTTCCTATGTTAACAGTTCCTTATCTGAGGGACAGAAAAGCAATGTCAAAGGACTTACATTTGAAAATTAAAGCACCAAAGATAAGAGCGAGAGCCAGTCCAGCAGAGATTCCTGCTCCAATGTAGACAGCTATTCTGGTGGACACTCCAGAGTCTTGTAATTCATTAGCCAATGTGGATATTTGCTGTGGAAACACAAACAGAATTTAAGCAGCCAAGGGCCAAATCGTTTGTGTACTTAGTCTCACAATTTGCAAATCAGACCATCCGTTTTACAACATCACAGGACTACAGGGTCCTTGAAATCACCCTTGATCTATCCCCTTCTAGACCAGCCTCAAACCACTCCAAGAAAAAGATTAACTTAATCTTTGGAGTTGGCAAGAAAACAAATGTGTCCTTCTGTACTGTGGGTGGAAAAGGAGCTCTTAGTAAATGGATCCCTACCCCCGAAAACAAAAATGAGCTTTAGAGTCCTATTGCTTCGAGATACCCTGGTGCTCCCCAGGCAACTTTAGAGTGGTCTACATTTGGTGTTTTATGTTCACAAAAAGACAGTGATTCAAGAGCCAGGACTCTGCAGCCAGACAGTCCTGGGTTCAAATCCCAGCTCTGTCTCTAAGAGCTGAATGATCTTGAGAGTTATTGGGAAAATTAAGTGACAAAAAATATAAAATGAGTAGCACAGAGCCTGGTATATAATAAATATTTAATCAGTGTTAGCTATTATTGCTATTGCTATAATTAATTTGATTTTCTGATAACTGAGAGTCACACTAAAAAATCCCCGTTTCTAAAATTTTAGTCCATGTCTTCCTTTTAAAAACAGTAATTATAGTTTTAAAACAAATAAGTCAAGGAAGTTAAATCTTCCATTGATTCAATACACATTACTCCTGCAATAGCAGGAGTCTTATATGCAAATTATTATTCATGAGGCACTATGAGCACACACAGGTACTTAAAAGGCAGTCCTTGACCCCAGAGAGGGGAGGGACGAACACAAGATGCTGAATATCAGTTGTGAATATACAAGTGGGAGACTGAATGAAATAATGCGGGCTCCTGGAGATGTCCTCAAAGAATTTTTAAGTCACCGCTGCAAGTGGGCTTTCTAGTGGTTTTTCTTTAACTCAGAGAAGGTTGGGGGGAGGGGCATTAAAATTGTGGTTAATTAAAATATTCCTTTATTTATAGTTAAATACATAAACTCTTGGCTTTGAAGATTCCTGGTTGGTGTCTCATCATATATAAATTTAAAAAATTTAAATAAGCCAATAATCTTTCCCATCAGGATTGCAATGGAAGCAGGCAGAAACATATTCTTGGGAGATAAAGGGTCTTTGAAACTTCCCCAGGGCACACAGTTGTGAAATCGGAGGAGAGGGACAAAATGCTCATGTTTCATCTTGTTGGTGTTCAAGCACTTACTATGTGCCTAGCACTTTACAGGCCTAACCCCCTTCCTTCCTTACTACAGCCCTGTGCAGTCAGAACTGTCATCATCAACATGTTACAGCCAAGGAATCTGAAGCTAAAGGAGGTTCAGGCCTTTTCCCCAAGGAAAGGATGGACAGGAAGGAAATCTAAAGCCATACTGAATTTTCTCTGAGTTGAGTATGATGTTAGCTCACCAAAAAAAGTTACTTACTGTTTGATTTTTATCATGGAGGATCCCCAGTGTCTGTGTTTCTGCTAAAAAAGAAAAAAAAAAGAAAAGAAAAAGAGAGGAAAAATAGCCAATAGAATAGTTAAGAATGTTTTCTTTTATCTAAGTTTTAAAAAAATCTTAAAGATGCTTATAATACTACTTGAAACTAATTCTACTCCATACTCTCCACAATCATTAATTGGGAGACCAACAAAACTTACTGAATACTCTCAAATCAACTTTAGGATAACCACATTTTTTTTCATCTAGATAATGAACCCTACTGTTTTATGAAATGGAGACTTCTGCCAGAAATACCTATGTTAAATATATAGGTTTGGGTTTTTTTCTGGTCCACAGGACCCTAATGGGTTCTACAAAAATCCAACAACATTGTTAACACTCAGGCATTATGTTCTTCTTTTTTTTTTTTTTTTGAGACAGGGTCTTGCATTGTCACCCCAAATAGAGTGCAATGGTGTCATCATAGCTCACTCAACCTCAGACTCCTGGGCTCAAGCAATCCTCCTGCCTCAGCCTCCCATGAAGCTGGGACTACAGGCACGTGCCACAATGACCTGCTAATTTTTCTGTTGTTAACAGAGGTGACATCTCATTCTTGCTAGGCTGGTCTCGAATTCCTGACCTCAAGCGATCCTCCTGCTTCGGCACTCCCAGAGTGCTAGGATTACAGGTGTGAGCCACCTTGCCCGGCCTCAGTCATTATATTCTAACTAGATCTTGAAAGACGACAAAAAATCATTTTTTAAAAAATTTCACATTTATGCATTAGAACTTTGGTCCCCAACCCCCAGTACCTGTCCTTGGGCGGTGGCTCATGTCTGTAAAACCACTACCCTAAAGTAGGGACTGTTAGCCCCATTGCACAGATGAAGCAGCTGAGAATTAGGGAAGTGAAGTGACTTACCCAAGGTCACACAGCTTAGCAAATGACAGAAATGGACTTCCAATTTAGGTCCACATGGCTTTATAAACACTGTTAACCACACTGCCTTCAACAACCTTCACGTCAGTATTGTCACTACTGTGAAGAGGGTCACGTTGCTCAGCTGCCAGCACACCATCTTTCCTCTCTGCTAATTTATTTATTCATCTGCTTATCTCTTCAATGAATATGTGCTACACCCCTACTCTATGCCAGGCACAGGGGACAGGGCAGGGAAAGAGATGGGCACAGGCCCTGACCTCATGGACACTGTACTCTGAAAATAAAGAGATCGTCAGCTATGGCAAAACTAAGCATGCTTACTCATTTTCTGGCTGAGTCAGAGGCTTTGAAACTCTGTAAATGTCACTGTCACCTTCTGGAAGCCTAAAAGTCTAAACCCTTGTAAAGGGTTTCACTAAATGCTGGTTTAACAGACAATAGTTTAAATGTTATAAAAACGTAGGCTCAACCGAAAATTATTTAAGAAAAAAATGAAGAAAGAGATTATGTTCCATGTACCTTTGCTCTTATTGCCTGAAAGGAATTTAAGCATAAAAACCACATTGGTGGAACTGTGAATCTTAACTGTACACGGGATTTTCAAATCCAGTTTCTGCTTCCCTGTGATTATTTTTCTTGATCTAAATGGTAAGACTGACAGAGTGACTTCCTTTTTTTTTTTTTATGCTAACTTCATTTTGCTGTGAAAATTACCTGTAAAATCGAGCACTGTTGTGTTATCACAGCTTTTTTCCCCACACAGATTTGGACATCGCCCAAGACAGGCGATACAGTGGAGGAACGGCAGCGTTTATCCTGGAGAACCCGAGATTTGGCTGGGTGGGGGCAGCGGTGAGGTGAGAGGGGATGGCCTTAAAACTATATAAATGGGCCTGGCGCGGTGGCTCAAGCCTGTAATCCCAGCACTCTGGGAGTGCTGAAGCAGGAGGATTGCTCGAGGTCAGGAGTTCGAGACCAGCCTGAGCAAAAGGGAGACCCTGTCTCTACTAAAAAGAGAAAGAAATTAGCTGGACAACTAAAAATACATAGAAAAACTTAGCCGGGCATGGTGGCATGTGCCTGTAATCCCAGCTACTCGGGAGGCTGAGGCAAAAGGATTGCTTGAGCCCTTGGAGGTTGCTGTGAGCTAGGTTGATGCCACGGCACTCTAGCCTGGGCAACAGAGTGAGACTCTGTCTCAAAAAAAAAAAAAAAAACTATATAAATGTAGTAGTTACCATCTATTCAGCACTTATAAGTATTATGTGCCAGACATGGTGTTTAGTGCTATACACATATAATCTCATTTAGTCCTCACCACAGTAGGTAGGTACTATTATTTTTCCTGTTTTTTAGATAAAGAAACTGGGTCTCAGAGAGATTCTTTACCCGAGATCACACAGCTGTTAGTTGGGAAGGCCGGGATTTAAACCAAGTCTACTCCAAAGCTGAGGACTCTCCCAGGACCCAGTCAGCCCTCCTCCTTCAGGTCAGAGAGATCGCATTTGTTCTGTGTTCAAAGTGGGTTTAGGAGATACCACACCCTTGAATCTCTTACTTTTAAAGGCTCTCTTCCATTTTATATCAAATATATTAAATGCACGTACATCTCACATTAAACAAAAGGAACAGGCGATCCTCTCACCTTGGCCTCCCAGAGTGCTAGGATTACAGGTGTGAGCCACCGCGCCCGGCCAACACAAACTCATTCTGCCTCCTGACTTCACTGACAATATTAATGACAACAGCTAACGTGTATTGAGTACATACTATGATCAGATATTGGGCTAAGTATTTTAGACGTATTTTCTTATTTAAATCTCACAAGGTGCGATTTATGAGATTTATGACATTATGAGGTGGGAGTTGCCTATTATTAACCTCATTTTACAAGAAAAAAAAAGAGCTCCGGCAGCCCCCTCCCCCTCCCCGGAGACTTTAGGAGAGACCAGGACTCTGACAGGAAATGACTTAAAATTATCCTCCTTGATCAATGTGACTGAGTTCTGCTCCTTCTGCCCCATGTTCTCTTCTGGAGCAGCCTGGAAAGGTCCTTGCCGCATACATGAAGAATTTGGCTACTCCTCCTGAGGCTGGAACCCAGGAAAGCTGACGGGCTTTAGTCCAGTTACAAGCCATCCTAGAAATCACTCAATCCAAACCTACTAGTCCCCAAACACAGGCTGGGACCGATTCATGACAAACCATTACCAGTCTGGGAGTAAATCAGAAAATAAGAACAATGTAATGAGTTTTTCATGAGATTAAATTGACTTTAATATTTAACTAAAAGACTAAAGTTTTTCATTAAAGTTTTTTTAGAAGTTAAAATTTAAGTAAAATAATGACTAAAAGACTGTCTTTTAATGCAATGATGGCAATAGTAGAAGTTTTTTTCTTTATTTGGCAAAATATGTAGATCACCAAAATTCTTTCTTTGGAGGTAGGGAATTCTACTGAGTCACAAAATCCAAAAGTCGCTAAACCTACTCCTTGGATGGAAGAGGAAGCTGAGATCCAGAGACATGAAGGGCCTTGGCCCAGGTCACCCGGTCAGTTTGTGTTTAATCCAGAATCCCGACTCAGGGTGAGTTTTTCCCAGCGTAAGTGTGTCTCCACTCTCCCTCATCTCAAACACTAGTTCAGGTGAACAGAAACAAGTCATGCCTCCACTCCTCTTGAACTGTCTCTGCTCTTATTCCCATATGCAAAATCCTCTGAACTCAGAAACTGGCTAAAGGTCTCCTCCTACGCTTCGTGTGTAATTACCTGAGTCACGTCCCCCGCTGGTGGTGGGCATCCTTGGAAAGGCCACAGTAACGTGTCTCTGCAGAGTCGGAGCAGGGGTGACCTTGGCTACTGTCAGAAACCAACATAAGGATGAGACTTCTCTGAGAGCTTGTTTCAGGGAATGAAAAGGGCAGCAGAAAACATGTGAAAGACAGCAAGTGAAGAGAAATACATCCTCAGCTTCCAAACCTGCCTGGACATCTCTGTTGAGAGTGTATTATTACATGCTTCAAAGGTTTGATGGAGCTGAGATGCCGTCATCATTGTCACATTCTAATTGTTAACAATAGAACTAACAGCCACACAAATGGTCACACTATAGGCTGAATATCCCTTATCCAAAAAGCTTGGGCTCAGAAGGGTTTTAGATATCAGATGTTTTCAGATTTTGAAATATTTCCATTATACCTATGCTCCAGGGGGCATAATGCTCCAATGAGCACTTCCTTTGAGTGTCATGTTGGTGTTCAAAAAGTTTCAGATTTTGGGGCATTTTGGTTTTTGGATTTGGGATGCCCAACCTGTGAATGCTTTGCATAAAATATTAACTTACAAAATCCTTTCTGCTACTGCTTCAGTGGACTAAAAAGAAAAATCCTTCCAGTGGCCCACATGATAGGTATTATTATCATATTTTACAGAGGAGGACAACACAGCGTTTAAATAACTTGCTCAAGATTGTATAGCTACCAAGAGGTAGAGTTGGATTTGAAGTTGACCCCATTTGGCCACAAAGTATGTGCTCTATAAATCTTAAAACATGCAAGCCCATTTACCTCCAAGCATCTATGCAAAATCCGGTGGTTCACAATCCTGGCTGCTCCTGGAGTAGAATCACCTGGGGTAGACTTTGTAAAATGCTAATACTTAGTTAGGTTCTACCTCCAGAGATACTGATTTCTCTAGTTTGTGGGTGGGACCCAAGCATCTGTAGTTGTTAAAAACTCTCCAGGTGATTCTAATGAACAGTCGGGGTCTCCAACCACTGACCCAGGCCTTTCTTCCCATTCTATAGAACCAACATGAGTTTTAAAACAGAGGGTATTAAACACCACTGGGCACCACTGATGGGGCCAGTTAAACTTTAGGTCTTGGGGTCCCACTTCCAGGACCATAATTAGTGAGAGGTGAGAACAGAGGTGAGAACAATCAGTATATGTAATATGATCCTCAGATGAATCTCATGCAGAAAGAAGGCATGCAGAAGTCCACTCACCTGGTTTGATGACCAACTTCAGGTCAAATTTTTTGTCATTCATTGGGCCTGGGACCTGGATCCGGCAGCAATAGGTCCCACTGTCTGCTAGGGTCACATTCTCTATGATCAGGGACACATCTCCTTTGTGGAAATTCCCCTTTAGCCAGTATCTGCTGGATGCCTGATAAGTCACGTTCCTTTCATCAGTGATGAGCACCTCAGTGGTACATCCAAGCATGGGACAGGCTCCCTTGCCCCAGCACACAGGTATGAGATGCCCTGGGGTGGTAGGAGTGTAGGAGCAGGGCAGATAGGCATTCCGACCCACTTCCACTGTGTATTCATCTTCCAAAGACCCTGAACAGAGAGGGAGGGAAATCCAAGGCCCAGGCAATGAGTGAGGGTAGTCCATCTCATGAAAACTGCAAGCAATGCCTTATAGAATAAAGAGGAAACCACTAAAAATAAAATAAGATAAAATACAATGTGATAAACTTATCCAAATAAGTGAAAGAGCTCTATAATGAAAACTATAAAATACTGATGAAAGAAGTTGAGGAGTTCAAGGCTGCAGTGAGCTATTAACTCGCCACTGCACTGTAGCCTAGGCAACAGAGTGAGACCTTGTCTCAAAACTAAAAAAAGAAAACAAAAACCACTAAAAATAAAATATGAAAAAGTGCATTATAGGAATAGATTATGAGCAATTGCACAGAGGTAGCCCGTAAGAGCTGGCCAACTTTCACGGTCATTAGCTATATTTTGAAGTCTTACATCACGATAAATAGCTGCTGCTTTTCTTTTAGGACATGGCTCTCCTTGGAGAATACATTTGCATTCATTTTCTACATGGCACTGCTCCTTTTGAAATTCTTCTATGATTCTGATATACATCAACATGAACATTCTCTATTAAATTTTCCCATCGAAAGAGAACTTATATTACTAACAAGTCCCCGGATGTTAATGACACAGCTAGTCCTGGAATCTCACTTTCAGAACCACTCCCTTGGCAGAGAATTGTGACCAGTTCTGTGAACATGAGAATTCAGGGCTGATGGAAATAGACAATCAGAAAATGGGTTATTGTCATCCAGGAAAACGGCCTACCCATCTGGGCTAGTTGTCTTCATCAACACAGGGTGGCTATCCTAACATAAATGTCTTTTTTTTAAAGCACCAGGTACACAGTGAATAAAAACACTTGGCCAAATAAGAAGCTTGTATATTTGAAACTACTCACAGGTTGTTTTGAGGTTTAAAGTTAATTCCTTTAAAAAAAAAAAAAACCTATGTATGTCTGAGTTTCCAAAAAAAGTAAAGAAAAAAAAAAAAAACCCTACACACATATACATATACTTGTATATATAATATAAAACAATCAAACAGTATAAAAGGTGTATGAAAAATATGACTTCCTCTCCCAACTCTACCATTTCCCTGCTCCTTTTCCTAGAGCCTACACATTAAGAAGTTTTAACATATTCCTGCTCCCCTACAATGCACACACACAAATAGAAGCCTAATATATGCATTATTCTGCCCCTTGCTGTTTTCAATAACATTGTAACTTGGAGACGTTCTGTACCAGTATGTTTAGTTAGCCTCACTGTTTGTATCACGGATACATCACGTTTATTTACCCACTCCCTCACTGTTGGACATTTAGGTTGCTTTCAAACTTTCGCTATTACAAACAACATCACAATGACCACCCTCATATTTCTCTCTTGCACTCCGTACACGATTATTCAATTGCAAATGTTCACGCCCAGACTTACTTATAGGTAGAAGCAGCAGCAGCAGCAGGACACAGTCAAAGGAAAGATGTGAAAACATGGGTTTTGCAGAAGAAAAGTCAAAGGACGACTCTGCTAGGCGCAGTTTTCACTCTCCAATTAAACTGGGTACTTCCTCCAACTGTCTACTCCACGATGATCACATACACCAGGAGCCACCCTCACTGAACACCAGCACATCGGGGTGTCTGACTACCGGTGATTCCTGTGTTAACACTGCCGGGTCCACAGTCACATTAAAGGAAACCTCAGCTCTCTGTCATGCCGCACTACACACATCCCGTAAGCGTTATCCTGTTATATCATCAAAGAGGAAGCAATACTTCAGAGGAAGAAAAGTATTAGTCATGGCAAGTAGAGAGAGCCCTCTAATATCTGAGATGAAATAGGCCTGAAACGGACCGTGTGCGAGCCTGGCTGGTTAACAGGGGACACAAAGCACAAACATATTGTTTGGTCATTCATTCATTCAAGTCAGTCCATCGGTCAGGTCTGTGACTAATGTTTATGAAGCCCCTGCTTTGTACCAGGCACTGGACCAGGAGCTGGAGAACACAGCGATGAATGACATGTTTCTTACCCTCACATTTATGGGCCATTTCCACTCCAGTCACGAGCCTAATGCTCATCCTTACTCCAACGCAGGTTAATCTGTGTCATATAACCTTACCGGGCCTCAGTTTCCTTGTTTATTAAATGAGGAGGTTGCGTTAGATGATGTATGCACAGCTCCCTGCTCTAATATTCTGACTTTGACCTTCAAACTTTCAAACTCTGCAATTTAGGAAAGACATGTTCCTTCCTACAATCTTCTTTTTCTCTACTTTGAGGGGAGTTGAGGGGCCCTCAATATTCTGTTTCATCTCATGCACATGAGGTGTCCCCTCTCCTCCCATTTTTCCCACACAAGAGGTTTCGGGTATGAATCGTCAGAAAGTGCTGAGTTCCCTCCACAACATTCATTACTGAGGAAACATCTCAGACCCAGATAGTCTCAGCTCTGGGAGAGTGACTTTTATCTGGATACCTTAAAAGCCAAAGCTTTTTTACAAAAGGGAAATGATCTCAGACTGAGCGGTTTCTGAAAACCCAGTGGCCTTCCTCTACGTCTTGCCTTCCTGAGTTTTCTTGTCACTCACCTCCACGCCACTAAATGCATTTAATATATATATCCAGCTTGTTCAGTGTGTGTACTTCCATAGCATCACAGAGTGGCAGTTACTCAAGAGATCATAATCAATTTCCTCATTTTATAGACAAGGAATCTGAGACTCCAGAAGATGGATTTGCCCAAAGGCACATGATTGGTGATTTACAATGAGAACACAAGTCCCCTAAGTGCTAGATTTTTCCCACTATCAACTATGTTTCATTAATTTAATGTTTTCCTTAGTATGTCTGCCCACATAATTAACAACAATCAGCAAATGCCCATATTCAACTATAAGGTAGAGTAGATTAAACATGGGATCAGGGGTCATTGTCACCAGCAGCATGACTTTGGTTTGGGCAAGGCTCTTAAAAGCACTTTAAAAGCACTGACGTTCAGATTCTTTTCTTTTTTTTTCTTTTTTTTTTTTTTTCTGAGACAGGGTCTTGCTCCATTGCCTGGGCTAGAGTGCAGTGGTGTCACCATAGCTCACAGCAACCTAAAACTCCTGGACTCAAGCCATCCTCCTGCCTCAGCGTCTCGAGTAGCTAGGACTATAGGTATGTGCCACCATGTCTGGCTAACTTTTCTTTTTTTTGTAGAGATGGGGTCTTGCTATATTGCTCAGGCTGGTCTCAAACTCCTGGCCTCAAGCAATCCTCCTGCCTGGGCCTCCCAGAGTGCTGAGATTATCAGGTGCTAGGCATGAGCCACCGCGCCTTGCCCGACATTCAGTTTCTGCGTTTTGTTTTCATTACTCTGTTTTCTGCCCATCTCTAGAATTGCTGCTGAAACCAGGTTTATAAAACAGTAACAATTTATTAACTCATTAAAGTCTAGATATGAAGGAGGCTAGAGATCTTTTCTGTTTGTAGGGGACTGATTCTAAACATTATCATGTTCATTTAACTTCTATTTCATGTTTATTTTTTTAAAACTGTTTAGATAATACCTTCAAATGGCTAAAAAGTTAAAGCAATATAAAAAGCTTGTATTAGGAAGCCTTGTTCCCACTCCTCCAAGTCTGCCCCATTTCTCCCACCCACCCTATAGGTTTTCATTTGCAGGAGTGCCTTGTGTATACTCCCAATGCAAACATAAGAAAATGAAATATATATTCTCATTCCCTCCTTTCTTAGACAAAATAGTATACTATATATACTTTTTGCACCTTGTATTTTCTTTCTGCTATTTTATTAGCTAATGTATTTTAAAACATATCCCAGATATCATGTTATTTCACCCCTACAGAATCATGTACATCTTCTTTTAGCAAGTGGACCTTCTGTCCACCTTGCCACTGTTTTAAAAAAAAAAAAAATTTGTAATAGACATTCTGCTATGTAATCACAATACCATTATCACAGATAGCAAAATTAATAATGATGCCTCAGCAGCACCTAATATTTCAGTCCATAGTCAAAGTTCCCTGATTATCTCGAAACCATCCTTTTTTCAATTGGTTTGTTTAAATCGAGACCCAAACAAGTTACCCACATTGCATTTGGTTATGTCTCTGCAGTCTCTTTTAATCTAAGACAGTCGTCCCTCTTTTCCGTCTGCCATTGACTCATTATACAAACCTGTATATTTTGTCCTGTGGAATGTTCCCCATTCTGGATTTTTCTGTTACCTTGTGGAGTCATTTACAATGTTCCTCTTTTCTTTGCATTTCCTGCAAATGAAACCTAGCTCTACAGGTTTTGGTCAGAATCGGGTATGAAATGAAACTTAGCTCTAGAGGTTTTGGTCAGAATCGGGTTTGACGTTTTGGCAAAAACATATCACGGCTGGTGTTCTGTGTTTCCTCTTCCATCACACTGTCTGCTTGCTCCACATTTAGAGATGCCAAGATTGATCAGCTTGCAACTTTCTTTTTTAACTTGTCATATTCTGAGAACCTTTCCATTTCAGCTCATATAAAATGTCCTCATTCTTTATTACAGCTACATAGATTCCATTAGATGAAAACATTGGATGAAAATAACAAAGTCTATTTATCAGTCGCTTCAAATGGACACTTCATGTCTCAGGTCCTCATTTGCAAAGATGATCACAAAAGAC